GGTGATAATTATGTAATATGGTTTGTTTATGGCTTTTTGAGAGGTAGGCTTGGCCCATTATATTTGTTAAGTTCAGACACTCGTCAGTCGTCTCCTTAAAGTTTAAATACACAAAAGTATATTCAAGGCCCACTATGTCGGTCGGCCTTTACTATGCAAACGCTTCGCAATCGCTATGCTCTACTCAATTAACTCAATCCATTCATGCGAATTTACGAAGTTTCGGGTATTTGTTGTATTCGACCAGTACGTAAGTTAGCTTATAACTTATTTAATTAGTTTATAAACAAATTTTTTTAGAAAATTCTAAATTTTTCTCATAAGCTTTATTGACTAGTTTTTTACATAAGCTTATCGAAATTTTTATTTCAACTAACTTATCATTTAATTTTAACAAACATTTTTATCATAGATACTAGTTTTTCAGTCATAATTTATCAGTTATAAAAGTTGTAAGCTGGCTTATCAGATAGGTTTACCAAACATAGTCTTAGATATACGACCATTTAAAAGTAATAATAGACAATCAGCGATTTCTTGGAAACATATATCCCTTATCTTATACGAAAATGTTAGTGGCCTTTAAATGTCGATACATGATAGTAAAGTTCGATTACTGAAATCCCTCCCACTAACTGTTATTATTTCTTTTCTTTAGGCTATGTTTGATAAAACTAATTGATAAGTTAGCTTATAGTTTATAAGTGATTTTCGAGTTTATAGTTTATGACTTCTAACTGAAGATCTAGCTTATATGATAAACATGTTTCGTAAAATTAGCTGATAAGCTAGTTGAAATTTTTTATTTGAAAAACTACTCAAATAAGCTTATGAGATAAACTCGTCCTACCAAACAACTTGGAGATATTTTCTCTGAACAAGCTCTTATGCCTGGCTTCTATCCATATTCGAAGGTAAGACTCCTCCTCATACTCATAATTATCATTCTGATGAGTCATGTGTGATGCAGATGTGAACACATGCATCGATCCGGTATATTTGCTAGCAATGGAAAATTTCCTACAAGTAGGAAATGTGATGAAAAACTTGCGTGGTCAAATCAAATCTCTCAAGATGCAAGTTCAGCAAGACGGATCCAATGAAGAATTGGAGTATATGAAGAAGGAAGTCTAGAACATTAGAGAGATCAATGAGTCACTCAATTATCAACTGGCTTCGTCGTTCACTCATGAAAAGTAAGTTGAACTGGATGTTGTCCTTGTTCGAACTGCCATCCCCGAAAATGGTTGAAAGTGTCAAATCAAGCATGTGTCGAAAAAAATCAGGTTACTGAATCTTTGAGGACTAAACTCTTTGTAGTGCCACAAATTTTAGAAAACATGTACAAAAAAATAGTTGCTGTTGAGAGGGAACTCTATCAGGTAATGAAAGAACATGTAAAACTTCAACGAATAATTAATCGCTTATTAATTTATTTAAAATTTTATTGTTGGTAGATTCCTAATCTATGATTACTACTCGACAACTGTTCTAAAGCATATTTGTCGAACAATTATTTCAATACACAAAAAATAGTGGAAGCTGATATGGTGCTTAGTAATTGGAAGAAGATCGAACGAAAAACACAAACAACCATGCTAACTACTAGGATGACGTATAGCTGGAAGATTTTACTAGTAGTAGTGGAACCGACGCAACAACCGAAGACAACGAATACAAATACGCCTACGATTACTAGATCGTTCAACGCATCATACCATTTATTTTATTAAGCGAACGACGAGAACTTTGATTCTCAACTTAATTGACACATTATAAGTTAAAATATCACTTTTTAACCAAAAATGTTTCAACTTAATTGATATTTCAACTTATAATATGTCAATTATGCCGAAGTCCAACTTTTTTTAGCTCCTTCATCCCTTTAATCTTAAAAAATAAAAAATCAAAAGGACCACTGGTTGAAGTTGGTTCGACTCGAATTGGACTGAGACCGCCTAGTTGATTCTGAACCGAAAACCTCGATTCATTGCACCGGTTCGTAACTATAGTCGGGCCGATTCCGACTTGCAGCCGGTACATCTAAAATGCAAACCGGATCGGGCCTAGAAAACCACCTCTTTGCCTAGTAGATAAAAGTCAACACGCGGATGAGAAACGTTGTCGTATGTGGGACCCGCCATTCATATTGTCACCGGCAACCGACCAAGCTAGTCATCTAATTCCCTCGCCTAACTTTACTTAGTTTATACATTCTGGGGCGGGTCAAACAGGTAAACCCAGAAGACTTCCAAGAGCTCAGACAAGAATGCTCTCGGGTGGGCTAGGGTTCCGATTTCCAAACGAAAGAAAGGGGGATAAATTTTGAGCTCCATATACCGGATTTGGATTGAATTTCGTAGGATTACTTCTTACTCAGGTGAAAATTCGGATCTTTGTCTACTTCGTTATAGGTCTGTGTCTTTTCCTGGTTCTTAGTAAGATCTTAGCTGCAATAGATCTAGCTGATGTGATTGCTTGTGTTCTCATTTCTATTTGGATTTGATTTTACCAGATTTTTTAGGATTTCTTTTGTTCAGTTACCTATGTGTTTCTGAAAATTCAGTAGCTTGCTTGCTTGCTTTTGTTGTGTCTGTAGCTGTGAAGGATACATATGAAAACTAGTTAGCGCAAACTCATTTTGGTTACTCCAGGTAATATTAGCGTATAAGTGTTAAATTGGTTTTTTTAATTAAAGCATGCTACATAATATTTGCTTTCATCCAAGAAAATGATAATTTTAGTATGTTTTGCTATTATGGTAATCCACTGCAAAATCTCCAATCTTTTTTTAATTTCTCGAGTTTAGAGTCTTCTCTGTGGTACCTTTTAGAATTTAGAGTCTTCAAAACCTGAACTGAGCAACCCATTATCAATTTTTTTAACTACTGCCATGTATCCATTTTAATTCAAGTCTTTTTCTTCTTCAAATTGTCCTCCACAGAGCCTCAGATCATTAAAACCGTCCTCATATGGGTACATCATCTGGATCACACTTCAACAACCAGTCCTCCATGCTTCCACCCCGCCAGCAGCCCCGTCCAGGTGGCGGCGGGCTCCAGACATCTCTCTCCTTGGTCTCACCCGATGCCTGCGGGTCCCCCAATCTCCATGAACGTGGATCAAATTCTGACCACGTTCGTGAATCCCCTTCTGAAAGCGCCAGCTCGCGCGAGACCTGGCCCACGGCCGATGCCTTGGTGGTGAAGAAACTGGAAAAGGAGAAAGAGCGAGAAAATGGTTACGCCGAACACTCGGTTGTCCGGCACGTCTCGAATTCCGACAAGCTGTCCCTGCGAGACCTGGCAAGAGAGAGAGTCGAGATTACGGCAGAGAGAATGCAGAACCTCCCGGACGAGTATCTCGACAAGTTTAAAAACGAGCTCAGGGCATTTCTCGAGGGCTTGGGTGGTTCTCAGCAGAGGGAAGAGTTCATATTCCTGCAGAAGCTTGTTCAGAGTCGTGGAGATTTGACCGAGAAAACGCTTGTCCTCGCGCACAGGGTCCAGCTCGAGATACTCGTTGCCATAAAGACTGGGATTCAGGCGTTTTTGCACCCGAGCGTGAGCCTCTCTCAGGCCTCCCTTATCGATATATTTTTGTACAAGAGGTGCAGGAATATAGCATGCGGAAGCGTGTTGCCTGCAGAGGACTGTACGTGCGAGCTGTGCTCAAAGAGGAACGGGTTTTGCAACCTCTGCATGTGTGTAATTTGCAGCAAGTTTGACTTTGAGGTCAACACGTGCCGTTGGATTGGGTGTGACCTCTGCTCTCACTGGACTCACACGGACTGCGCTATTCGGAATGGGCAGATAGGGATGGGTTCGGCCGTGAGGAGCCAGCTGGGCTCAGCGGAAATGCTCTTTAGGTGCCGTGCTTGCAGCCGGACGTCTGAGCTGTTGGGTTGGGTGAAGGATGTATTCCAGCATTGTGCGCCCAGCTGGGATAGGGATGCTTTGATTAGAGAGCTCGACTTTGTGAGCAGGATCTTCAGGGGGAGTGAGGACTCAAGAGGTAGGAAGCTCTTCTGGAAATGTGAGGAGCTCATTGAGAAATTGAAGAGTGGGGTGGTGGCGGATCCTGTTCCTTGTAAAGCGATCTTGATGTTCTTTCAAGGTAAAGTCTTTGTTTACGTGGTTTTGAATTGTTATTGGCTGTATTGGTTGTGTGGAGTTTGTTATGCGGTTTAGAAAGAGAATTGAACTCTAAAGTTGTGTATTTGGATGCTAATTGGCTCTGGTAGGTGGACTAATTAACGTGGAATTGCATACTTTCATTTATTGCGTGAACCCTTATTTTTAGAAGCTAATTTGGGCTCATGGTTTTGAACTTAGCTTCATTTGAGTGTACATATCATCTTAGTTGTTTGTCTTTGCAAAATCTCTGAGTTTTTGACATTTTTGCTGATTTGTTTACTTTAGCGGAGGAATATGCTGAATTAATGACAAGTTTTTCATGAAAAAAACTTTTTTATGTGTTATTGCTGCTTTTATTCGTTGTATGGCATAGTAGTTTGGCATGTGTGTTCCTGGGGCTGCTACAATTTGGGAGATTTTTCAAGCAATATTGTTCATGTTCTTTGGTTTGACACTGTTCCCTTTTGTGTTTGTTCTTTAGCTTAAGTTTGAAAGGATATATATATATGGGAAAGGAAAATTTACCAACAGAAACTGTCCATTGCATAAAAAGAAAAGAGGTCTCATTAGCTGCGCCTTCCATCGAGTAACACAACATGCTGTTAGTTCTACACCTATTTTTGTATCATACTACTGAAATCTTGCACAGTTTTCAAAAGTCTTGCATTAAGCTCGTCTTTCTACATCACTTGAATCTCTCTCTGAATCCTGGCAATTGGATATTCGTTCATCTCCTAATCGGAAGTTGTATGTTTTGTACACAAAGTTATTTCAGTGTTATTATGTATAAATGTGTGCTGGCCAACCTCTCTTTCTCTCTTTCCAATTCTTTTCATGTCCCTCTCTTACTTCCCTCCACAGAGCTCGATGACCCCTCGAAGTCCCAAGATCCCGACGAACCCAACCGCACCATATCCCCACAAGAAGCCTTCAACAAGATAGCCGATGTCGTCCAAGAAGCCGTCCGCAAAATGGAAGCCGTGGCCGAGGAGAAAATGCGCCTCGTCAAGAAAGCCCGGCTGGCAGTCGACGCCTGTGAGCAGGAGCTCAAGGACAAGGCTCGCGAGGTGGCTGCCTTAAAGATGGAAAGGCAGAGGAAGAAGATACAGATAGACGAGCTCGAGAGCATTGTGCGGCTCAAGCAAGCTGAGGCTGACATGTTTGAGCTCAAGGCTAACGAGGCTCGCCGGGAAGCTGAACGGCTGCAGAGGATAGCTCTTGCCAAGACTGAAAAGTCAGAGGAGGATTATGCTAGCAGGTATTTGAAGCAGAGGCTGCACGAGGCTGAGGCTGAGAAGCAGTACTTGTTTGAGAAGATTAAGCTTCAAGAGAGCTCGAGGGCCTCCTCGCAGGGTGGCGGTGGGGGTGGGGACCCATCTCAGATGATGTATAGTAAGATTCAAGATCTACTCAAGAATATGTACGGTACGTCGCCTTCTGTTAAGGGGGAGGGTGGGATTCCATGAGTGTGTGTGTTATTTAAAAGAAATGTGTTTCATATTTTGAATTNNCCTGCCTGTTGTACTAATTTCTTTAGAAAGTGCGTTTCATGTACTTTTTATATGTATTTTGTTTTTTTATGGAAGTACATTAATTGTGTGTTGTTTGTCAAGTGATGGGTTGAAGAATTAGGGTGTGGTGAAAGATGTACATGGCTTGGAGTGGCCTGGTTGTGAGATTAAGGTGTAATGAGCCATTTAATGGCTATATTCATTTTTATGTGAAAAGGTGGACAAAGATGCTGAGCTGATTGATTGATTATCTAGACGATAACAACAACAACATAGCCTTTTAGTCTCAAGCAAGTTGGGTAGGCTAGAGATGAAATCCAAGAGAATCAATGATAAGAGAAACACAAAAAGGGCTCAAAACAAAAGAAAGAGATTGGAGCAAAAGAGAAAGGAGCAAAAGTCATGGTTCTGGCACGTTGATTGCTAGTATTCAAGCGCTCCTATTCACCGTTAAATCCTTGGAGATATTTCAATCTTTAAGGTCTCTCTTAACCGATTCTTCTCAAGTGAGTTTAGGCCGACCTCTATCTCTCTTTACATCATCGACCCGCTGTAGAACTCCCCTACGCACCGATGCATCAGGAGGCTTCTGTTGGACATGTCCGAACCACCTCAGCCGATGTTGAACCAATTTCTCCTCAATTGGAGCCACTTCGACCCTATCTCGAATATCCTCATTCCGGATTCTATCCCTTCTTGTGTGCCTGCAGAACCAACGCAACATGCGCATCTCTGTTACACTTAGTTGTTGGACATGTCGCCTTTTTGTAGGCCAACATTCAACACCATATAGCATCGTCGGGCGAATCGCCGTCCTATAAAATTTACCTTGATATCTGGACATGTGGAGAAAAAAGGAAAAAGCTGGTTGTCAAGAAAGAATCAAGCAATGTCTCATGTTTTGCTTGGGAGTAAAGGAAACCTAGATGCTCTCATAATTTGTGATTTTGGATTATTTTTGCAGTGAGCAATACCCTTTAAGCATGTGGATGTGAGTCAAATATTTTTTTTTTCAGAATTAATTATGTTAACTGATTTCAGTATATTTTGATAAAAAAAATTACTTTTATAATTTTCCATATTGATTTCAGACCAAAGTTAATTATCTAAGCATTATCAGCAAGACACATATAATCATATTTTGTTGACCCCAATATTCATGAAATCCACTTTTACGGTGTGCCACACTTGAACTCCTTTAGAAAGAAAACAGAAATAAAATCCCTGATTGATAAGGTTATTCTGCGTAACCCTTAGGTTATACATGCACAGGGTATAAGATTGAGATTTCAAAGCATATATACCTGCCAAAAGCATTGTCGTCCAAACTAAGAAAGCTTAAAATATTCGACCTGAACTTCCCACATTAGTTCAACTTTTTAAATATCGAAAATATCACCAAGTTCACCTATAAACTTTATATACATATATACATTTGCCAATCTACAAAACTCACGTTTACGCAAAACTTAATCGGTTAATCCGGTGAAAGCTTCAATTGCAGCCCAATGCCGATACTCTTCCCAAAGATTTTGATCACTCTATTCTTCTTGCTGTTAGTATCACCTAATTCAGGTACCATTCTCATTTTCGCCTTTTCCCATTTTGATTTTTTTTTTTTTTCTTGTCATACATATGCATCCGGAAACGAAACAAAGAAGATATAATCTATGTTATGTTTTAGATGCACAGTTTGAGGACTATTGCATAGCAGACGAGCAAACCCCCGATGATGAGCTGTCGGCAGCTATGAAGTGGGCTTGTGGCAATGGGGCTGATTGCCGTCCGATCCAAGAAAGTCAGCCGTGCTATCTGCCCAACACGCTAAAGGATCACGCGTCTTATGCATTTAATAGTTACTATCAGAATATGAAGCACAAAGGAGGAAGTTGCTATTTCAATGCGGCTGCTCTTTTATCTTCTCTCAATCCTAGTAAGATAAATATTCTACATATCATGGCATATTTTTGTCTGAAACATTTGACTCATTGAATTTCTGTTTCAACAAATGCTCGCTTTTCCAATCTGGGCAAGGCAATCACTTGAACTTGATTTCAAAAGTAATTATCTGATAGGGAATCATTGTTGTATTCTTACATATTTTTAGGGTTTTATTGTCTACTCACTTAATAAATATCAAGATTTTATCAGATAGCGAATCATTGTTGAGATTTTCGAGAATTTTTAAGATCTTCATATTTAAAAAAGATGTAAGTTTGGAGGTAGAATCTGAAATGAGATTTTGTATATGGTTTTTTCTTTTGAAATCTCAATAAAATTTAATAAGTATTAACAAATCATAGTCTCAAACAAGTTAAATATTTGAAGATTTTGTAAGACTTTTTAGAAGCTCAAATGAATACATACAGATTTTTAATAAAAATCTTAAAATGTTTAAATTAAATACACCAGAATTTTAAATTATTGAAAAAATTTCAAAAATCCCTTGACCTTCGTAATCATACTAAGTTGGAATAATTTCTTGCTGATCATTTGATTTTTTACTTTAATCTTTTTCTAGTTGTCCGTTCTGTCTATTTCCTTTCTCCTTTTAGATGAAATAATTTTGTCTGAAATTATGTTACTTGTTGCCGTTATTCCTTTCTCCTTTTAGATGAAATAATTTTGTCTGAAATTGTGTTTCTTGTTACCATTAATGGCAGGCCATGACTCATGCAAGTTTGACAATCTCCCCTGAACCTGTTACGCGTCAAGATCCTCACTCAATGATCTTCTCAACATTTTATTGCTATACGAACCAGATAATTTTTGCATTTCAAATTACATCACATAAAATATGATGCAAATTTGCAATTGCTAATACCATTTTTAATTTTTATTATTCTAAACATTTTGAGTAGTTTGTGATTGGAAAATTAGACCCTGAATTACCCGAATATTTATTTTCAACAACGTATTTGAGGTTGACTTCAACGTCATATGCTAACGCCAAGTTAAGTTCCCTACAATTATATGCTTAATATGTAATAATGTCACAAAATCTACTATGCAATCGTTATATATGGTGATTCCTTGTCGATGGACCTTGCGAATTATTTACTAAAACAGTGTGCATTTGTATTTTGTGCTATCATCTGGAATGAAATCCCCTTAATCACTTTATTACCAGCTGAAATTAATTAATTGTAATATACATGAAACTTATATCCAATGTACATTAATTTTATTGACAGTACTGTACATTAATTTCTTTGCATAATAACAATCGACAATTTATTCATAGCGTATACTGCTTCTACAGTTATTTTAAATAAGAAATTAACCACTGGATTTTTGCGCTGGCAACTCAACAAAATGATAAAAGTATGTTATTGTAGGACCAAAATCTTACCTTACGTGTAAGCCATTATAAGTACGGGTGTCAAGATTTCATTGTAACTCAACCAACCCACTCAAAACTCTAGCAAAAAAATGAAATGAAAATTAAACTAGAAAAGAAAAAAGTAAGTGTGTGAGTGTGATGATTAGAAAACTTTGGCACATCAATATATTTTTGGAATTGGAGGTGGAGGACCATCTTTCCTACTCACAGTCTAACCAGTCAAAGACTTTATTATTAATTAAGAGCTTAGCCCACAAATGCAATTTGTTACAAGAGGACCATCTTGTGTATATATATATGATCGATACTACTCGCAAATCGCAATTAATGATGCTGGTAGACTGGGAATGTTTTTATTTTTTATTTTTTGTTGTTGAAATCCGGCCATAATTAACTTATAAAATCATCATCATCATGAAAGATATATCAACAAAGCCTTAAGATATTGGGCGTTTACTTATAAGAGAAGAAACACATCCTTGTTTTGTCTTTCAATTGATGAGCACGAACACTAATCACTGTGTTATTATTATTATTATTATTATTATTATTATTTGGGAGATGAGTAACAAATGATGATTATCTTTCAATACACACTTAGGGCTAGGGCTCCATATATGTTGCTACATTTCAAGTTATATGGATTTCAAATCTGGGAAAAATTCAAAATTAGTCCCACAGATATAGGGGTGACAATTTTGGTCCCGACGGAATGCACAAAATATGAATAGTTCCACAGCTTTTAAATGATCAAAAGTAGGACTTTTTCGCAGGATTTACTATTTCCAGCCCGGAACGTCACGTGGCGCACACGTGGCTTATTCTTTACACGCTGGCGCACACATGGCGCACACGTGGCTCAGTTTTGAATTTTTTCCTAGATAGAAAAAAATTCAAAACTAGTACCACAAGTTTAGAGGAGTGACATTTTTGGTCCCGATGGAATGCAGAAAATTCAAAACTAGTCCCACAACTTGTAAAAAAATATGAACACGTCGGATGCCACGTGGCGTTCCGGGCCGGAAATAGTAAATCCGGCGAAAAAGTCCTACTTTTGATCATTTTTTAAAAGTTGTGGGACTATTTATATTTTATGCATTCCATTGAGACCAAAATTGTCACCCCCTATAACTGTGGAACTAGTTTTGAAATTTTTCCTTTCAAATCAATGATAGGAAATATTTTCGGATAAAAGTATTTTACAGTAAAAATTTTTATTTAGTGATTTATTGTACACACACTTAATGGAAAATTTTCAATATACGAATCCTAGGTACAATCAGCAACAAAACACACACCTAACCCTTCATTGGTCAACAATGAAATATGCGCTCATCCCATCTAGCGGATGAAATAATAAATTGATGTTTCGTGTTGAAAAAAGTAAAAAAGGATTTCAAAAATTTCAAAAGGTATTGGTGTTTTAAATTAGTTAAAAAAATATCGTTAAAAATAACTTGAACAAAAATATGATGAATATTTAATATATAATAAGTTGGCCGAAAATTGTGTATCTTCTTTTTTACCTCGAAATTAGTGTGTTCAAATATAGTAGCATAATATTGGATAAAATGAATATCAAGGATAGCTAGTTGGGTCATTAATTATTATGGTTTTGTATCCTATTGCATCTCCAAACTCCAATCCGTAATGTAGTCAGTCCAACATGTGTTCACACACATTGAAATTGAATTCTCCCACGCCAAATCCCATGTCCCTCTGTTCAATGCGCGCTACAAATACAGCCCCATCAAATTCCATTACTACAACTTCACACTCTCCTCCAAGGCCACTAGTATAAATGTTGTACTTCTATAGTTGATGGCCCACCTTCTTATTATGTATATTATCTATCGATCTGAATTAACTCGTAATAGTGCTGACGTGGAGCATTATTATTAGTTTAGACCAATTTTCTCAAATTAAATCGGCCTTCTCCATTATATCCGCATCCTATATGTTTCAGAGTCACATCGGCATTCGTTCCTTGTGACGAAGATCTCGTCATCAATACTGACCACACAAGGCTTCCTCCGTGCCGATCTTATCATATTGACATTCATTCCTTGCAACTAAGATCTCGATATCAACACTGACCACACAAGATCACTTTGTTCGCGCTAATCTCATCAGACATAGTTTTCTTCATACCGACTTCACATTCCAGTGACAAAAGTGTTGCCGCCCACAAACCTGGTATATGTCTTGTCCCCAAAAAAGAGCCCTGCCACTAAACACATTGGATGCGGCTGGCCACTCAGACATGCGTCATGTGTCCGATGACTCGTCAAGAATTCATGATAATTTTCATTTTTTACCAAGTATAAATTGTAACAACCTCTATGAGGTTAAGGAATCATTAATTACCAGAAAAAAAAAATCATAATTACGTGTTGTATGCATTACAATCGTTGTTGTCGATTTCATATATCAACAAATTAACGCTGGAGGAAGGGCCCAATTGCAGATTTTGGTAAAATCTCTTGTTGTATTTAAGACTTTCCTTATATTATCTTTATACTCGTTATCATAATGTCATCTCGCAGTTCTAGTGATGATAACAACACCAACAACCAAGAAAATCACACTTCACCCTCCATAAATATGAACTATATTTTTACAAACCCTATTTTTATCAAGGAATTAACAAACTTTTTTTTTTTTTTCAAGTCCTTCACAACACTTTCCTAGATAAACCCACTCACCCAAAAACTTCTTATCCAAAACCTACACACAAAACTACTGCCCCTCAACAGGCAGCCTCCCATGAAGAGGACTTATGCAACCTACGTGAAGGTACCAAAGAAAGGGAAAAATAGTTATCTACTACTTCCGAGAAGGCACAAGGAGCCAGGGTCAGTCGGACGGGGTTTAGTACTACCAACTCTTAGGTGTTTGATCGCCTCGGCACCAATCCAAGGCATGTCGATATCTGCCACCTCCCGAATAAATCAAGCTTTCATCCAATAAGGAGTTCACGGAGATCGCGGTTCTGCGACAGCGTATTGCCGATATGGAGGCCTAGAAGAACTCCAGACCTCACTAACTCTCTACCCTTAATTTTCCTTCTCACTTTCCTATGGTCTGTCCGGCTATCTCTGCCGATTTGAACTCCTCTATCTTCTCACTGGTCGAGGTAATGCACGCCAAAATTAAGGTGCCCCAAATCGGTCTCTACAATGGGGATTATGACCCCGATGAGGACCTGGGGCAATACATCTTATGGATGGACCTACACGAGGCCAACAACGCACTTCGCTATCGACTTTCTCGCTCACTTTAGGGCCAAAAGCGCAATGGTGCTACCACTCAGTGGTCCCGAGAATAATAAACGGATAGGACTAGCTCAAATCAGCATTCCACATGCACTTCATCGGCTCCCAAATTTGTATGATCCCCAAGGATCCCATCTACAACATTGTGTACGAGGACAATGAGAGCTTGAAGGACTATGTCACCTAAAGACGCTTTTGGTGGCAGCGTACGCCGGACTCCCCCATTACTCGCGCGAGCCCAACAATATATAATCGCCGAGGAATCCATATATTTTTCATATTCAAGGCCTCTAAAGCCCCACTTGCGAAAGTCAAGGCGGCGCAACCACTTCGAGGTCCAAATATCAAGAAGCCTGGGCCGCACGAATCAGAGCAACCCGACAAAACAAGAAGAGGCAACAACCAACTGTAAGATGGTCTACACCATTGGTATCGCCGCCATTTATGAAGAGATTAAAAATAATGGGATACTCCTCAATCTACCTGATCTTAAAGGAAGAATCCACATTGGAAACTCCATGTATTTTGCTTATTATAAGAGCCATGAAAAACCCTTACAGCACGGGTACTGCGTTTTGCGCCTCTGCCCTCAGAATCACGTTGTAGTTCTCTCCAGATGGCGACAACATGTTCCAGTATATAGTTAGAAAAGGAAAAAAATGATAGAAAGGGTATGGTTAGTAAAGCGGATTTTGTAAGTACCTGAAAAAGTTCAGTTGAAAAAGTGCAATGTCGGTCTGAGGTTGAAGGAAGTTATGAACTTGCTCTTTTCTCTGTCTCTCAAGGGAATTAGGGTTTAGCAAAAGTGAAAAAAAGAAAAAATTATTTTCCTCTATCTATTTATAGACCCCTCATGTCGAGTTGTAAAGGCACGACTTTCCATGTCACAACATTGATTGACGTGTTTTAGTGATAATTGACGCATTCCAACAAAGGTTTCGTAAAGGTATGACGTTTCACACGCCAACGTCTCTCTCGAAGACACATGTCATGCATGCAGAAGTCAGACGCGCCTTTTCACAACTTTTTCTCTCTCCACTTAATTAATCGTCGCATCTGCATTTAATGCGCTGAATGGACATGACCTTTATTCCCTTGTTAATGGACCTTTATTCTTATGGGTTGACCATTTATGGCGCAGGAATCCTCAGACATGGACATCAGGTGCAGTTACCCTACCTCACACATGGCACATCGACAGATTGACATCTCTGAATGAACAACTTCTTGCACCTAATAGTTCTTCACAAATGGTCCCAAGAACTTGGGGCCCCCTATTATTTATATTATCTGCCGATCTGAATTAACTTGTAATAGTGATGACTTGAAGCATTATTTGCACCCTAGACAATTTTTCTCAAAATTAAATCGGCTTTCTCAATTATATCATCACCATACGCTTTCCAGAGTCACGTCGGCATTCGTTCCTTAGGAACAAGATAACGATATCAACACCTACCACACAAGGCTTCTTACGTGCCGATCTTATCACATCGACATTCGTTCCTTGCAACCAAGATCCTTATCAATATCGACCACATAAGGCGCCCTTCGCGCCAATCTCATCACCGACATAGTTTTCTTCATGCAAATGCCACCATCCAGTGTGTAAAAGGGTTGTCGTCCACGAGTTTAATATATGTCATGTCCCTGAAAATGCACACTGCCACTAAGCTCGTTGCATGCGGGTATCCCCTCAGACACGTGACGCATGTTCGATGACTCATCAAGAAGTCACGATGATTTTTATTTTTTATCAATATAAATTGTAACAACCTCCATGAGGTTGAGGCATCGAAGAATGATCGAAAAATTACCCAGAAAAATACCTAAAGCTGAAAAGCATAAAAGAAACGTACAAGATTATGAAAACAAACATTAATTTCATCACAACTTTTATCTCATTTGTTTTAATTACACTTTACATTGATTACAATCCTTGTTGATTTCACACGTCAACACTTCTAAATATCATTTTCTTTGCCGCGTCAACGCTGCAAAATATAGGTTAAAAAAAAAAAAAATCGGATTTCTTATTTCCTTCTTTTGTAATTTTATTTTTTTTATATCAATATTTTTACATAAATCCAAAGTTATAAACTAAATGCTATTGTGTTTATGTTAATGTTTGGTTTTTTAGTTACTTTAGTTGAGTTTTATCAGTAAATTAATGATATAATAATAAATTCAATTGGTACTTACTAAAACCAGTCAAATATGTGGTAAATTTGTTTAAATCCATTGAACAAATATGTTGGTGGGTTGCCCGATATTATTGTAAGTACATTATTTGTCATATATAATTTGCTTCTGCGAATTATATGTACACATTATTCCTAAAAGATAAGCCTTAATCCTAATAGATAACACGGATATACGATAATTAAAAAAAATTATAATAAATAATACAGGAAATGAGGAGTAGAAACTTATAAATACATTAGAAAAATACTAAAAACAAAACAATATCATCACCAAATTTTCTAAAATAATCCCCTCCAAACTCTCCAATGTCTAGCTGAGCAAGAAATAAGATTTGTCCTTTACAAGGAAAACAGACGCAACTTTTAGGCCTAAGTTTTTTAAATGCTGTCCTAGTGTCTACACATCTGATCCCTCATTCAATGTTTAAATCACTGCACACACACTTCAATGCTCCATAAATATATATGCAGAAAGCAAGATGTGTCTTCTCCTCCTTCTTACACATAATGATCATCATCACCCTTCTTATTATTTTACTAATAATTTGCTAAGATCCGAACCCGGGACCCAGATAAGGCTGTCCCTGTTGTTCTTTATCAGAAAAAACTAAAAAGAGGGTACTGTATTGGTTTATTAGTGGGTGTGCCCTTATAAATGTGGTGGTGTTGGTAGGTGAAGAAATTGAATTCTGTACTTCAACACTCTACCGCCTTTCTTGTGTATATTTCTTCCCTTAATTCTTGTGTTATTCTGTAAGNAAAAAAAAAAAAAAAAAAAAGGAGCTTGAAGGAAAAAGAAAATGAGTTCTCTTGGTGTTGGTGTGAGTCCTGGTAATGTCCCAGTTTACCATGGCAGCAGATTGAAGGTGATTGACCGGCGAGTGAGGCTAGCAGAGTTGATCCTAAGGTGTTTGATATGTGGTCTGGCTGTCATTTCTGCTGCTCTTATTGGGACTGATTCTCAGGTCAGGGAGATCTTCACTATAAGGAAACGGGCCAAGTTCACAGACATGAAAGCCCTTGTGTAAGAACTTTTAAACTGCTTTTGTTATGGTGGTTGTTTGGTTTGCTGATCTTCTTTCTTTCCTTTTCATGTGTAATTTTGTAGTTTCTTGGTGATAGCTAATGGTTTGGCTGCTGGGTACTCGCTGATCCAGGTTCTGAGGTGTGCTGTGAGTATGGTTAAAGGGTCTGTTCTGTTTAACAAGCCCTTGGCCTGGGCCATTTTCTCTGGAGATCAGGTAAATGTGGCTTTGTGCTGGATTTATTTCGAACTTTCTTAAATATTTGTGTTTGCACAATGAGGTCATTGGCATCTTGTTATGATGTTGCTGAATTTGTGTGTTGTATTTTAGTTTCTTGCAAAGCATATACCTGTAGGGGAAGTATGTGTTTTGATGGGGAAATAAATAGAAGAGCAAGGAAGAAAGAAAAGATTGTTTAATTTCTGACTTCTGATGCTAAAGTTCAGTTCATTTGCTCTTCAAATTTACCTGTGCTTTTGTGGTTGGTGTATTTGTCAAGTTACTAGTTTTTTGAGTATTATCAGCTTCTTTGAGGATTAGCAGTCGTGTTTCTGTTTCTCGTTTAGAGGAAAGCGATATTGTGGGAATTGGATGAACCTGGCAGTTTTTAGTTTTTTGGTCTTAACTTTTAAAGAACTCCGATTCAGGAAATTCCAGCTGTATGAAAGAGCAAACTCGTTTATCAGCTCAAAGACTGAAACTCTGTTTCATGGGAATACATAAAAACAGAGTCTAACAAGGAGAGAAACAAGAAGCAAATGCATTATTTAATCATGTCATGGCAAGTTTGCTGTCTCATTGGGCTGCCAAGTGAAGCTTGTGTTAATAATTATGCCCTCAAGTAACATCCTATTGCCGAATATGTTACGCCTCTTATTAAGGCTCTGAAAACTTCATTTGCTCAAAATCCTCACACAAAATCTCAATTGCTCAAATCCTCACTCAATATAGGATAAATCACAAAAAGTGCAGTTGTTCATAATTACTCCGTAAATAACCAATTTTGTCTGTGGTCAGAAATATCAATTGTAGTTACCTATTTTGTAATTGTGACTTGTGCTTGGTCACTGATCACAGGTAATGGCCTACTTAACCCTGTCGGCTGTGGCTGCTGCTGTGCAGTCGGGTATCTTTTCGCAATTCGGTCAACCAGAGCTACAATGGATGAAGACTTGTAATTTGTATGCAAAATTTTGTAACCAAATTGGAGAAGGTGTAGCCAGCTCATTACTAGCGTGTCTCTCAATGGTAGTTCTCTCTGCCATATCAGCTTATGGGCTGTTTCGTTTGTATGGGGACGGTAAAGAGAAGAGTAGCCTGGAATGGTGAAAAATCTCGCTTAATATATATATTTAATACTAGTGGTGCTTAACAATGTTTTGAAAGTAGTACTTGTGGGTTGTAAAATAAAGACTGTGTACGGATATTGTGAAGAATTTCGATTGTGCAGTTACGCCTTAAGAAATTGTTCAGATTTTACTTGATGAGAATGCATGCAAAATAACATAAATGGGAACGTTTATATGATATGTAACAAAACAAAATGAACTTCTGTCTCTGAAAAACTCCATGAAAGGCCGATATCCGATCTAAAAGGAGGATCGTAAGGAATCTTTTTGGCCTAATTAGTTAGTCATTATGTCTTCGGTTAACCTATTTAACAATTAGGCCGACATACAATTTGCACAAATATACATACTTTCGCAAGAAAACGTCATACTCAGAAGTATCTCGGCAAATCCAATTTGAAAGAGAGTAGCTCGGCTAAGATAAGGTGCTTGGGCAAGTAGCTCAGACATGGGCTTAAGGTGCCGAGCAAATTGTTGATGAACGTTTTCGATCAACGGTTAATTGAAGATTACATGATGTTTTTTGACTGAATTTCTTGAGGTTTTTCTTTTCAGGAATCTACCAAGAGGAGAGATTGACAACTTTTGACAACTTATTCAGTTCTTAATATAATTAAATTTTCCATTCCGGTCATAAAAAGAGTACTAACATATACATAACGAGAGAAATTGGTGCGGCAAATTTTGTATTTCCGAAATCATCATCCGCCATTTTATTTTCAATCCATATTATTCTTTTTGTAGGTAGAGCTCTTTGATGGTTCATAACACGGCCCAGACAAAAAGCCCATTCTACGACCCAACTTCATTTTCTTCGCCAACTCCATCACTAATCGCCATCCTCACAACTTGAAATATAACTGCAATACCACCACAAAAANAATCACGCAATTTTTTAATAAAGTAATTCTTATGACGTAAAGAAACTTATTGATCATACGATTCTAATAAAAAAAATACCAAATTCAAACTATTATTATTATTTCTATAATCAAAAGGGTGGCAAAAGTTTAAAATTAGAGGATATTCGGTTTTGACTAAACAGAAATTCTATGGAGCCATCGGATGGCTCCTTTATGAAGTCATCCATAACTTTATATACTGACACGTGTTCAATGTGTATTTATTGTAATACATGTGTCAATACACCATTTGTGAATAACTATGGATGACTCTATAAGTCGAGCTATCTGATGACTCCCATAGTAAAACTGTTTGACTAAATTGGTGCATCTTATTATATTCATAAACAATGTAATCCTTAAATTTTGATAATCAAGATGGACCCCACGTTGGAATGAATCCATCCCCTTATACCCCATTTTGTGTACATAAATAAAAATATAATAAATGCATAAGGAATTCAAAGAACGTGATAATTAAAATTAAGACTATTTTACTAAACTAGGTGTGATATTCTGTTGTAAACGTTATCATAGTGAAAACTGCCATTTTTTTAATAAATGCATAAGGAATTCAAAGAACGTGATAATTAAAATTAAGATTAATTTTCTAAACTAGGTGTGATATTCTGTTGTTGACGTTATCATAGTGAAAAACTGCCATTTTTTCCCCTTTTATCCTTCTTATTCGCATTCTTCCCACAAAGGCACAAAACATAATATATTGAAGAAGAAAGAGGCTTATGCATAAATTGAA